CCCCCCCCCCCACAATACTTTCGAGGAAATGGAAAGGGACCAACAATAGATGAAGAGGGTGTGTGTGTGTGAGAGAGGGGGTGGGGTGGGGAGAAAGAGAAAGAGATATCTTTGCTTGGTCTCCAAATATTTAAAAAGTTTAATGAGACTTGACTGCTTTGTGTCATTTAAGCTTCACATTTCTTTGTGTAATGTTTTGTTATCCTTGGATGTTTTGTAGTTTCACCCTCCTTGGGAATTACAAAATCAGTTACAGCATCAGCAGCAGAATCGGCTAAAGAAGAGAACAAAACTTCAAATCCAACCTCTTCAGTAATTTCTACTTCTGCAGCAACAACATTCAGCCGAAATCTAACTCTACAACCCACCTATGTAACCACTGTCAATTCTTCACACTCTGACAATGGGACCACACAAATAGCAAGCACCAATTCTGTAGGCATTACCATGTCACCAAATGGAACATGGCTTCCAGACAGCCAGTTCACAGATGCCACAACAGAACCCTGGGATGGGAATTCCAGCACTGCTGCAACCACTCCAGAAACCTTCCCTCCTGCAGGTACCAGAGATGCTTTCTGTTTGTCCCAACTTTTCTTTTTTTCCGTTCTTTCTTTCAAAATTAGCTTATTCCAGTTCTACCAGTGATAAGATTTCATTGATATAGCTCTACACATTTATACTCTATTCCAGTCAATCTCACCTCCTCTATCTCTCTGTTCCATCTGATTTCTTCTTCAAGTTTATTCACCATTTTGTTTATTGTGTGTGTAAAACTTCTTAAGGAAAATAACATTGCCCAAGCAAAGTAATGAAACTTAGAGGTAAGGAATTCTTAAGAATAGCTAGTCAACATAGAGTTTTCTGAATCACATCTGCTAGGTGAGATCCTGGTTAGTAGACCATGTTTAAAGGTAAAGAAGGTTGAAAACATGAGAGAGAAACTAATTAATGATGCAAGAAACTAAACATGAAAAAGTAAGAAGAATGAATAATAAGAGCTTTGAAAAGAAAAGGATCCAGGGCTGGGAAGGTGGCTCAGTGGTAGAGCGCTTTCCTTGCATGCCTGAGGCCCTGGGTTCCATTTCCACAGTAACACATAAGCAAAAAGAAAAAAGCCAGAAATGGTGCTGTGGCTCAAGTGGTAGAGTGCTAGCCTTGAGCTGAAGAGCTGAGGAACAGCCCTCAGGCCCAGAGTTCAAGCCCCCCAACAGACCCCCCCCAAAAAAAAGAAAAAAAGAAAAGGATCCATAGAGACCATGGCAAGGGGTATGGAAACCAGAGGTGGTTAGAAAGGGGGTCCAGGGAAACTTTAATTGTGGGGCCTCAGGATCTCAGCCCAGTCCTCTGTCTCCTAGAATCAGAGTCACTGGATTAAAGTCCTGGGTCTGGGACCAGGTCTGTAAAAGAGTGTCCCTTATGTGTCCAAGGATGTAATTGTTCCCTGATTGCCATGTGACTCCTATTTCATTTCTAGCAAAATTATTCCCTCTTCGATAATCCCCTGGCTCAATTTTTCTCAGGGGGAGGAGAGGTGGTCATGGGTCTTGAACTCAGGGCCTGGGTTCTGTCTCTGAGCTTTTTCACTTTTTCACTCTACCACGTTGAACCACAGTGTCACTTCCAGTTTTCTGGTAGTTAAAAGATAAGAGTCTCATGTACTTTCCTGCCTGGTCTGGCTTTTCAGTGATCCGCAGATATTAGCCTTTTTAGCCTTTTGAGTAGCTAGGATTATAGCCATGAGCCACTAGCACCCTTCTTTCAAATTTTTTCCTGATTTGTGGATTCCCCTAATTAGAATCATGTCTGGCTCAGGGGTACATTCAGAAAGTACTTGATAAAGTTAATCTCATTTGGTTATTACAGATGATATCTTTCAGATAAATCTCATAGTCCAGATCTGATACTTGCCTGCTTTGATCTCATTTTTTTCTATGGAGCAATATAAAACTAGATGCTGGTGGCTCACACCTATAATCCTATCTACTTAGGAGACTGAGAGATCTGAGGATCATAGCTTGAAGCCAGCCCTGGCAGAAAAGTTCATGAGACTCTTAATTCCAATTAGCCACCAAAATTCTGGAAATGGAGCTGTGGCTAAAGTGTTAGACTGCTAGTCTTGAGCAAAGAAGCTCAAGGACAGTACTCAGGCCCCAGAACTGGTATCTATCCAGATAGATATAGCATAGCTATAGATGAAAATGAGTTACAGTGAAGAACATAGTCTACAGAACTACATTACCTATTTGAATCCCAACTCTTCTGTAAACTTAGTTGTGTGACCGATCTACTTAATTTTAATTTTTTTCATCTGTAAAATTAGAATGAATGATAGTAATGGTTTTTGCTTTAGAGAGATTAATCAGATTAATTAATTAATATAGATACATTACCTACTATGATAAACACATTTTAAATACTGGTTATTATTGTCAGTACAATTATTGCTTTCTTTTTTTGGTTTGGTTTTGTCGATCGTGAGTTCAAGAACTCTGGGCACTGTCCCTCAGCTCTTCAGCTCAAGGTGAACGCTCTACCACTTGAGCCACAGCGCCACTTCTGGTTGTTTATTGAAGATAAGAGTCTCACGGACTTTCCTGCCTGGGCTGGCTTTGAACCATGATCCTCAGATCTCAGCCTCCTTAGTAGCTGGGATTACAGGCATGAGCCATCGACACCCAGCTTACAATGATTGCTTTCATAGTTATCAACAAAGTATATGATCAGGCATGGTGACACATACTGTGAACCTCAGGAGTCCTAAGTCAGGAGGATCACTAATTGTTGACCAGCCTGGACTATGTAGTAAGTTCCTGTTTCACAAAACCAAGAGCTAAAGCTGAAGGTATAGCGCAGGGGTAGAATGCTAGCCTACCAAGCACAGTTCAAACTCCAGTACCGCCAAAAAGAAAAAAGAAAAAGATTCTCCTTTTGCCAAGCACCTGTAATCTTAGCTCACTTCTTTAATCTTGGCTCACAGCTGTAATAAGAAGGAGATCTAGTGGATCAACATTGATAGCCAGTCCAAGTAGAAAAGTCCACAAGACCCCCAGAAAAATAAGCAGGGCTGGAAGCATAGCTCAAGGGGTGGAGTGCCAGCCAAGGATGTAGGAAGTCCTAAGTTCAAACCCTGGTTCCAGAAGAAAGTAAAATGACAAAACCAAACAAAAAACCCACAAGGACTAAGTGTAGAGCCCAGTGGTAGACAGCTTTATTCTAAAATAAGATTAGATTGATAAGCCATCCAACTATTTTCATTAGGCAGGGAACTGCAGATGGTGTCTGCAATTTGCTTTGTACTTTAACATTAGTTATAGTTTTATCATAGTGCAATAACTAGTTTATAGGGATAAGAGTTTTCTAAAATAATCCAAGTAAGGTTTTTTTAATGCATGAAGAAATTTTACAATGATGAAACAATTTATGGAATATTTTGTAATGTCCAGATTATAATCTACTTATGAAATCAGTTTAAATGGGCCACCACTTGTGTTTTGTTTTGTTGATTAGCATATATTAATTGTACAAAGGAAGAGGTTGTTTGTGGTATTTCCATACATGTATACAATGTATCACAGCCAATTTTACCTGCTCTATCTCTTAGCCATTGTTTTGGTTTTGGTGCCAGTACTGGAGCCTAAACTCAGGTCCTCACCTTTTAGCTTGGCTTTTTCATTCAAGGCTAGCACTGTACCATTTGAGCTACACTGCCACTTCCAATTGTTTTGTTTTAATGGATAGTCCTATTTCATTTTTATTCTTTATATGTTACATATATCATTTTGTGCAACTTTAGTATGTTACACACAGATGCCCAAAGAATAACAGTTACTAAATAACAAAGTAAAATATATTTCTCAATGTAGGTTAAGGAGGAAAGGCAGAACTACCTGACAAACTAAAGGAATAACTGAAAGAAGTCTAACTGTAATCCAGGCTCAACTAACTTCGTAGCCCATGTTTGTTTGTTTTTTCTGTACTCTTTTATTTAACAATTCTGTGAGGTTACCTGGATAGTTAATCTTCTTTTAATACATGTTTAATGTAAGGTTATAAAGGGTAAATGATTTTTTTAGGATATCATGGCATGTAAGTAGCAAATTAGGCATATTTATCATTTTTATGGTTTTTCTATAAAATGAATTAGTTTTCCGTATAATGAGTAAGATCCAAAGTATGCCCATAGCTAAGATTCCAGTTAGTATACATTTAACACATTTCATGTCAAAGGAGACAGACTATTACTGGTGCCTTTATTCAAGATGAGTAAAACACGAAGAAACTATTGCAGTCTATTTCACAGACTTAACTCTGACATCCTACATCATCACCATTATACCAATCTTCCTATAATATTTTACATCATAGATTTAAATTGATAATGATGATAATGTATATATAGTGTGTGGTACTAAGGATTGATGATGATGATGATGATGATGATGATGATGATGATGATGTGTGATGCTGGAGATTAAACCCATTGCCTCACAAGTGCTAGACAAGTACTCTTAAAACACTGAATTTAGCCAGGCACCAGTGGCTCATGCCTATAATCCTAGCTAATCAAGAGTCTGAGATCTGAGATCACGTTCAAAGCCAGCCTGGGCAGCAAAGTCTCGTATCTCCAGTTAACCACCAGAAAACTGGAAGTGGTGCTGGCTCAAAGTCGCTAAGTTCTAGCCTTGAGCAAAAAGCTCAGAGACAGTACCCAGCCCTGAGTTCAAGCACCACAACCAACAAAAAAAAGTAAAGACTACTGAACTTGCACCCCTAGCCCAGATGTTTTTATATTATAACTATGAAATATTGTTTTCTGCCAAACTATAATTATGATTTGACTATTTGGGGGGGGACAACTTTTTCCAGATTTAATAATTATCTTTTTCCTTGTTTTGTTTTTTATTTAGTTATTGCTAGCCATTTTTCCATTTTCTCCAGAGCCTGTCAGTACAGTTTGCTACAAAGTCAGACCTATTAGGTAATCAGTTGTTTTTTTTTTCAACTATAGAAATTTCTCTTAAGCCTTCCATTCTTATTCCAGCCTAGGCTTGTTGGTTTCTAGGGCTCCTACACTGGTATCATCCTGGGATTTCCCTTCTCCATCATTGTAGGAATTCTCATTGCTTTCTGCCTGGCTTCCACTTTGTTCTTTCTTGTCTTCTTCCATCATTTGACAGAGCATGTCCTTGAGAAAGGGATCCACAGCAGATAAATTGCATAAAACTTGACATGTCTGGAAGAATTTTTAGCACTCTTGTGTAGAAGTTGAGGAAATAATTTTCCCCTAGAATTTTGAAAGTTTTTCCTAACTGACACTTAATTTCCAAGTTTGGAGAATTCTACTGCTTTTTAAGATCTTCTCTCTCATTTGTGTCCTGAAATTTTGCAAAGATATATCTTTTCTTTTTCTTTGACAGCTCTGGAATTTGAACTAAAGGGGTTGCATTTAGAATGTAGCCACTCTACTCTCCTGTTGAGCCATCTACTGCTGAGCCATGCCCTCAGCCTTTTTTTGTACTGACCATTATTGAGATAGGGTTTCACTTCTCACCTGGATCACAGTAGACTATTTTAGGCATCCCACTGTAGCTTGTATAATGGGCATATGCAACCACGCTTAAAATATGGAGTCTCCATATTTTAAGAGAAAAAAAAAAGAACTTGGCTGGGCACCAGTGGCTCACATCTATAATCCCATCTACCTTCTATAATCCTAGGAAATTCAGTAAGACTTTTATCTGCAACTAACCATCAAAGAACCAGAAGTAAAGCTGTCAAATGGTAGAGTGCTAGTTCTGACCTAAAAGGCTCAGGGATAGCACTCAGACCCTGAGTTCAAGCCCCAAGACCAGGATAAAATTTAAAAACAAACAAACAAACAAAAAAACAACGAGCAAATAGAATATGCCATACTAGATAGGAAGACTGAACATTCTGTAGATACCATCTCTTCCCATTTCCTATATATTTAACATAATTAATATTTTTCCAGATAGACAAATTGATCTTTTTTTTGGTGGGGGGGGGTCTGGTCATGGGGCCTGAACTCTGGGCCTGGGCGCTGTCCCTCAGATCTTCAGCTCAAGGCTAGCGCTCTACCACTTGAGCCACAGCGCCACTTCCGGCTTTTTTCTTTTTGCTTATGTGGTGCTGAGGAATCCAACCCAGGGCCTCATGCATGCAAGGCAAGCGCTCTACCACTGAGCCACCTTCCCAGCCCCGACAAATTGATATTGACTTTCATAAGGAGTCAGGAACTGATGGCTCACGCCTGTAATCCTAGCTACTCAGGAGGCTGAGATCTGAGGATCGCGGTTCAAAGCCAGCCCAGGCAGGAGAGACCGTGAGACTCCTATCTCCAATAAACCACCAGAAAACCAGAAGTGGCGCTGTAGCTCAAGTGGTAGAGCTCTCGCCTTGAGCTGAAGAGCTGAGGGACAGCACCCAGGCCCAGAGTTCAAGCCCCACGGTCGACAAAAAAAAAAAAAAAAGAAAGTCCATGAGACTCTTACCTCCAAATAACTACCAGAAAGCTGGAAGTGCGTTGTGGCTCAAAGTAGTAGACAGTTAAACTTGTGCAGAAGAGCTCAGGGCTAGCACCCAGGCCCTGAGTTCAAGCCCCACAACTGACAGAGAAGAAATGTCGTCTTTTAACTAGACAACTTGGTTGTCAGATAAAAAATAAGAATTCTATACCAAAGGCAAGAAGAGAAGGTTTGTCATGGAACACAGGTTCTCACATGCAAGGCAAGCACTGTACACTGAGCCCCAGTCCCAACTGTTGTTTTTAGGGTTTGTTTGTTTCTTCAATTTTGATTTTTTTCAGTGTTTAATTTAATTCCTTGTTTTAATATATTATGATGAAAGAATATTATGCTGTTTCACCATTGGGAATTTTCCACAGGTCTTTCAAAAGGTATTCTTTATCAAAACAGAACTGGGTATATAGAATTTGATTTTGTTGCATATTATCATTTAGACCTTTTATAGCTTTAATTTTCTCCTCATACAGTCTAATGATCCAAAAGACAAAGTCCTCTAAAACCATACATTTGTATCCTTAAACTTTCTATGAATATTGCTGCTGCATTGTTTGTGTACTCCAGAAGACCAGACCACTGACTTAAGTTTAGTGAACTTGAGATATTTTGTTTCCAGTTATTGGGAGAGTTCCCAACTCAGCTCCAACACTGAATATAGAGAAAAGTATTTACATTCCTTATTTTGTTTTACCTTCACTTGAATCGTAATGTTTTTCTCTAACCTGAGTGAATGTTCTCTATTTTTCACTTACTACACAGGTAATTCTGACTTGAAGGACAGAAGAGGTGAGCTGCTCACCTTTGTGTGTCATCCTTTTCCCACAATGTACACAGTTCATCCATGTTTCCTCTGCTCTCAGTCTGTACAGATCTTGTGCATCTGTGTTTGTGGTGTGTTTACTTTCCGTTAAAGTGTTTCCATGTTAATCACAATTAAGAAGTAAGAAATGGATGTTTAATATATTTTTAGATATAGATTACATATATAGATGCTGACAGCTTTGATACATTTTAACAATTAATAGTACTATAATTACTATTTTACTCATTTTTGTTCCCTTGTTAATATTATCCTTTGATGCTATTAGGTCATAACTAACGAGGCAGTGGCATAGAAATAATACAACATTCTAAGAAATATTCTTTAATTTGAGTTTGGAAATAATATTCTCTGAAGAAGTTGTTTCATCATGGTTTTAATGTCAAATCAGACTTTTTTTGAGATTTTTTTATTCTGATTTTATTAGCCATGTTCAAATTATTCTGCATAAATTGTGGGTCTGTGAAATCCACCAATTAGAAAGTCATCTGAGTTAGAAAAGTGAATGTTTTGATTTGTGTGCTGGACTTGAGGCTTGAACTCAGGGCCTGGGTGCTATCCCTCAGCTTTTGTGCTCAAGTCTAGCGCTCTACCACTTGAGCCACAGCTCCACTTTCAGCTTTTTGGTGGTTAGAGATAAAAGTCTCGTGGACTTTCCTGTTCATGCTGGCTATGAACTGTGAGCCTCAGATTTCAGCCTCCTGAGTAGCTCGGATTACAGACATGAGGCACCAGTACTCAGCAAATATTCTGATTTTTTTTATGTTATTTATCTGCCACAGTGAAGGATAGTGAGATACTGTATTCTGTATTTTTCCCTTGCTTTAACATCCCTTGCTTTCCTAAACTCAGGAAGCAAACATAGGTGAATGGAGTTAAGTGCCTTTGCTGTTCAGTTTCACCTACTAGAGTCTCCCTAGCAGATATAGAATTTAATAGATTTGTATTGCAGACATATGTATGGTTGTTTTCTAAAACTACTCTTTTAACAAGTCTTAGAGGCAAAAGTCGAAGTGATAGTTTCAAGTTTAAAGATGAGCTACATGATTCTCAGTGTATGTTTTCAAAATAACCAGCCTTTCTCACTCCACAAATGCTTATTTTACTTAGCTAATGTTTAAGTAATTCTAATGGAAAAGAAACAAAGGCTGGGAATGTAGATCATTGGCACAATGCTTGCCCACCATAGGCATAGGAAGGCCCTAGTTACCTTCCCCATCACTGAGAAAAAGAGAGAGGAAAGTAGGAAGGAAGAAAATTACCTTAATTATCTTCATTATTGCTAAATGTGACATATGGGAAGTTTACTATAAGTGAATCTCCTTCTTAAGCCACAAATTAAACCAAACAGAAATTACAAAGGCATTACAGATTTTCAGTCTCTAAAGCCCCATATGTAATGATTTTTTTTAACCAGAACAAATCTTTAAAAGTACCGCTGTAAATTTTTCTTTTTGTATTCTTTTGGTGCTAGATTAAACCCATGACCTCTCATGCTAAGTCTGTGTTCTCCCACTGAGTTACACCCCAGCTTCATAACATCCTAATTTTAGAGCCAAATGCTTTTTGAAAAATGAGACAACTGTTTGGAAATATTTGCATTACAATAGGTTTGATAAGCAAATTATGTGAATTAAGGTTATAAGTTTTTATGCAGTAGGCTCTGGGGTGCTTTTAAACGGCAATGGCTGGTACTTAAATTGTCAGAGCAGAAAAGAATAAAGAAAGTGAAGGAGGCACAGGCAATTTTTCTTTCTCTGTCTCCAAGACACTAGTTATTTTCTCATGTATGTTACTTTTTAACTGTATATTCCAAGTTACTTGGGTAGAAGTAGTTTAAAAAATATATATGGGGGGCTGAGAAGGTGGCTCAGTGGTAGAGTGCTTGCCTTGCATGCATAAGGCCCTGGGTTCGATTCTGGGTTTGATTCCTTAGCACCACATAAGCAGAAAAAAAAAAAAAAAGCCAGAAGTGGTGCTATGGTTCAAGTGGTAGAGTGCTAGTCTTGAGCTGAAGAGCTAATAGACAGCGCCCAGGCCCAGAGTTCAGACCCCACGACCGGACACCCCCCACCAAAAAAAAAAAAAAAAAAATATATATATATATATATATATATATGGTCCATGAGATTCTTTAACCTGTAAAAAGCCAGAAGGGGAGCTATGGCTCAGGTGGTAGAGTGCTAGCCTTCAGTAAAACAACTAAAGGATAGTACCCAGGCCTTGAGTTCAATTGTCAGGACTGGCACAAAAGAGAAAAAGAAGGAGGGGCTGGGATATAGGACAATGGTAGAGCACTCACCTAACATACATGAGGTTTTAAGATACATCCCCAGCACCACCACCAAAATATAGATACAGATATATTTATATAACATAAAATTAACCATTTTAATAACTTTTTTTTTTCTGTTCTCGGGGCCTGAACTCTGGGCCTGGGAGCTGTCCCTCAGCTCTTCAGCTCAA